TGTTCAAAGACATTACAAACCAATTGCAAATGTTTTCATGAAAAAGAAATCTATTAGATATGATGTACTAATAATTAAATGCCAAATATAAATACCTAAATATGAACTTTGTGTATAATTTGTACATATATATTTAATGAGGTGACTTAAGGCCATTAACTCAGTCTCTTGACTTTCTCACCAGTGCGCTGACGCACAGAGATTTAGTTTGCATTTATTTTTCTTTCTATTAATTATTCTCATCTGAAATACACAGAAAAAGTCAGCTGAGATCCACGTGACGCTATAATAAAGATGGTGTTTTTTAAAGAGGAGAGTGAAGACATGAAGATTGAAGAAACATTCAGAGTCAAACAAGAAGATACTGAGGAACAAACAGAGATGGTGTTTATTAAAGAGGAGAGTGAAGACGTGAAGATTGAAGAAGCATTCAGAGTCAAACAAGAAGATACTGAGGAACAAATAAAGATGGTGTTTTTTAAAGAGGAGAGTGAAGACGTGAAGATTGAAGAAGCATTCAGAGTCAAACATGAAGATACTGAGGAACAAATAAAGATGGTGTTTTTTAAAGAGGAGAGTGAAGACGTGAAGATTGAAGAAGCATTCAGAGTCAAACATGAAGATACTGAGGAACAAACAGAGATGGTGTTTATTAAAGAGGAGAGTGAAGACACGAGGAATGAAGCTTTCAGAGTCAAACATGAAGATACTGAGGAACAAACAGAGATTGTGTTTATTAAAGAGGAGAGTGAAGACATGAAGATTGAAGAAGCATTCAGAGTCAAACATGAAGATACTGAAGAACAAACAGGTTGGTTTTCATTCTCAAAGCTGAACGCACTCATTTGATTCTTATTAAAGGGGTCCTATTATGATTTCTGTTATATAAAATATCTCCTTTTGAAGTGGACTTTGAACTTTATAACTTTGCAGATCTTTTTTTATGCTCAAACAGCAACATTACAGACTAACTGAAGTTGAAAAAGTGAAAAAGCATAATAGGACCCCTTTAAAATGCTCCGCTCTACAGAAATAGAGAAGAAAAATCTCATAAAATCTAACAGTTAAGTAATAAGAGATACAGAAAATTGTTTAAATTAAACATTTATTGAACAACACAGGTCTCTCCAATCAGTGCACTTGTATATTTTAAATAAAAATGCATACGTTAAATATTAAATATTTAATCTAGACTGTCAAATAAACTTTTAGATGAAAAAAAAGTTTTTGTGCACAAAAACGTACATAAATATAATAAATAAAATAAACAAGAGTAGTGTTACGCACAGTAGCACCCAGCAGCATAATAAAAATAAAAGTTCACTCATATTACACAGCCTGCTGCTCATAACTGCTTTTTTTTTTTTTGTGTGGGCGCACCGCTTTGTGCTTTTTTTCCAAAGCGTCTGGAAAAAATGAGCGCGTCCACCGTGTCACTTCGATTATGAGCGCATCTACATTTTAAATAAAGAACTTGAGCGCGCAAAAGATGCAATATGTGAACAGCCCCTAAGAGTGCACTGGCCACAAGCAATGACGTCGAGAAGGACCCACAGACACATTTAATGAGGAACGTTGACGTGCACGTTTTAGCCAGAAGTTTTGTCTGAATTGCATGTGTTTCTATGTTGTTTTATTTGAAAAATGCCACAAATTGGCCTGATTAATCGTCCGGCCTCTAAATTCAACCCTGGGCCGCATTCTTAAAGCTTCTTAGAATCCTCTCAGAAAGCTCCTATTTTAGCTTAATTTTCTAATCAGGAATCTTAGTTTAATGGTGTGTTCACACCAGCCGCGAATGTAATTATTCGCGCGAGTAGATTACATACAAAGTCAACGCAAATAGAGGCAAATTTGCGCAGGGTTCGCGCCTCAATGGCGTCTTCCGCACAAGTTAAAAAATTTGAACTCGAGCGGAAAATTCACATGACGCGTTCTCGCGCAAGCCAATCAGCGAAGAGCTTCTTGACACGTTCAGTTGAATCAAACGGTAGAAGAGAGCATTATTGTAGCCGTCTGTTATTATATAGGTCTGGAGCATAGAAAACAATTAAAATCAGTGGTAGTTGTATTTTATTAGCATGGCTACAGAGATGCTGCTATCAATAATAACAATAATAGTAATATCAGTGTATGTATACAGTAGTAAAATGTAACATACATTAATACAGCATCCTAACGTTATTCATCCTCCTCTGGATGGTGCTGTGAACCCAGACACGTCTGCGTTTGGCTTTCCATTGCATTTGGGACTTTTTGACAACAGGTACAAAACAGCGATTGTAGTTATCTCCACCATGGTTGATCGCACGGTTTTTATTTGCGCGAGTGACACGAAAAACATCCCGCAAGTAATCTAGAGCGAGTGACGCGATGCTCATATTCGCTTCGCGTCTGGTCTGAACACACAAGAGTGATTCAGGACCAATCTGAGAGCAACTCTGAGTGAGGAAAAGACAAAAACTTTCATCTTAGTGAGGAGGTGGGGCTGACCCCGTTGATAGGTATGACACATTTGTTTTTGAAGACTATGATTGGTTGTCCAAGTTCAAAAAAAGTTTTAAATAGGGTAAAAAAGGAAAAATTAGGGTCTATTACAAGCCTTCACTTACAGGCCTAATCACACGCACACATAAACACGCATATATATTAGGGCTGCGTATAACCAGCAAAGTCACGATACGATACGTATCACGATACAGAGGCCACGATACGATGCGTATCACGATACATGACTGCACTGAATTTCACCTCAGCAGAAATTAGAAAAACAGCTGTTTATTAAACACTGCTTACTATAGTGCCATTGCTAACTATTGGCAGAGCAGGCAGCTGACCTCTGCATTATGAAGGGCCTCCATAACTGTACCACAGTACAATATAGGTAATGGCATATGTTTCATGTTTACATTGTGCACTCCCCAAGGTACAATATTCTGATTGTTTGCATCTTTTTTTAAGCCTATAAATAATAATGTACTCGTTCTAATACATTTATATTGTAATGTACTCATTCTAATATGTTTAAAAAATAATTTACATTGTGTTAATTTGTGCAATGATAACCTACCAGCACTCTCTTCAATAAAAAATAAAAAAATTAGAAGAGTTCTAAACCAACGCGCTGTCTTCACTGTATCTAACGCACACACGCTCAAGGCTGATTTATACTCGACGCGTCTGCAAGTTCGCTTTGAGTGCGCGCGACGTCGTTACGCGTGGCGGTGTGCACGACATTTTTTGTAACTTTCCGCGCAGCTCCGCTTCCGAAGATGCACGAGTTCAAAGCGACTCTAGCCGAACAGAAGCAGTTTGATGTTAAGTTAAGTTCAGTCACACACACAGAGCACGTTGCGGCCGAACTCAGACATCCAGGAACAAACTTTTTAGCGCTGCCCCACGGTTTTATCAACTAAATAGCTTAATCGCTCTAGAGCTACATTATCTTTCTCAACAAGGAGCTGGTA